CTTCTACTGCCCGGGCACCGCCAGCGAGTCGCCACTGTTCTAGTTACACCACTACCTCCAAATCATCCCGATTTGGCTCAATCCTACAAGAACATCGGTGGAGTGTATGACAACATGGGTAACTACTGGAAAGCACTTGAATTTTACGATAAAGCACTTAAAATCTACGAAAAACTCTGCCTCCGAATCATCCCTTATTGGCTACTTCCTACAACAACATCGGTATGGCTTATTCCAGTAAGAGTGACTACCCCAAAGCACTTTCATATCTAGAAAAGGCACTCGTCATCTTCCAAAAATCACTCCCACCAACGCATCCGCATATTAAAACATTGATAGATAACATTGACTCTGTGGAAAAGAAAATGGAACTGTTGTTTTTTCTTCTCGACTACTCAATAAATTGATTTTGATCGCTTTCACTCCACTTCCCGGCTTTTCTCAGCTCATTTTCGCGTAACCCTACCCCCCAATAATAGAAGCCGCTCCCATATTAGAAGCCCTCTCCCTATTAGAAGCCTCATCCAGAGAGGACGATCTGCCAGACGTATTAGAAGCCCCCTACATTTTCAAGGCATTTTAAGAGGTAAAAACCTGTTGAAATCTTATTTATCAGTATCAAAATTCTGAAATCTCTTCGAAAACCTGCTGAACAACTCATAAAAACCTTAAAAATTCCTTAGGACTTTCGAAAAATGCTTGTCCTTGGCACCTTTGAAAAATGATGGGATCTAATAGAAGCCCCCTCTAAAACTTATGAACGCTCGCCATAATATAAGCCCCCGGGGCTTCTATTGTGAGGGGGGGGGGGGTTACACACGCGCGCGACCAGGGACACCCCCTGTAAGCCCGAAATGGGTACACGCAGAGCGAACCACGTCGGGGTGTGGGTGTGGTTGTGTGAGGGTATGGGTGTACGTCTTCACTTCTTACAGTCACTCACACCCACCCCACACCCACACCCACATCCACACTCACACCCGCACCCACACCCACGCCCACCCACACCCGCACCCGACATCCGCACCCATACGCACACCCACCCACACCCTTCTTGTTTTAGTATCATTAATTGTAAATAGAGCTAGCTCACCGTAATCTACGATTGCTTTTATTTCTGTTCCTTTAAGGAGAGAGAAGTTCTCGAATTGATAAATCGACTTATGAATTGAAATTTTACATAAAGACAAGTATTAGTGAAGATAGAATTCTTTCGTGAACACTTTAGATATCTCATATAAGCTGTTAGATCGCATATTCGTATCTGAAACTTTGTTAATAAACAACTTTCGTTAAAATTCTTCTTAGTGTAAAATTTCAAGTTAAAATTCGTAAGTCAGTTAGCTGCATTACAAGTAAAATTAAAACAAAAATATTTCGAAGAAAATATGAAGACTATTGACCGAGTGCAGATGAAACAACTTCTTCAATCTTTCTCATTAATTCAGCAGGCAGCTGCAGAGTTAGGAGCAAAATTTTATCGTTTCTCAGATCCGAATTCATAAAAAATGTAATCCTGCAATTTTAAAACAAAAATCGACAAATTGTGTTCAATCATAACAAAAAAACACTTTTCTTAAATTTTGCATTGTCAATAAATTACGGTGTGGATGAGTTTGTAAGAAGAGAATAACCAAACCCATACTCAACGAATTAATGCACTTGAAAATAGTGAGACAATTGTCAGGTGGGATGCATGTGAAGCTTTTCGTAAGATGGGTGAAAAGGCAATAAGAAGTGAGTTCATTAATCGGCTAATCAGTGTACTTGAGGACCCATATCCTTTTCCGAGAATAATCTTCAGTAGTACACTTAATCCTAAATTGTGTGACACTTCGAAGTGCCTCCCCTCACTGTTTTGATACATTTCTGAAACATAAAAAAATATTTGAGTATTATATCTCGTAAGTACTTAAAATTGAAAATATGATCAAATAATATATACAAATTATCATTATTTATATATGTGATCAAAAAAAATAAGATTTTCTTAAATTTTATCAACAAAAAATTGATTAAAGAATTAATTAATTCTTATTTTCTAGATAGGAAAATATTTAGATAAATGAAAATCCCAGACATCATTTTTATGATACTCTTCTAGCGTTATTGAATATGCAAAAGAATGTAATAAGAAAAAGATTATGATTATAATCATAGCCATTGTATTTATCATAGTTTTCTACAAAGTTCATCGAGATAATCTTGATTTGCTCGCACTTGAGAATGGTCAGGTCCAAATACATCATGTGCAATTTCTACTGCTTGCAAAGCATGTTCAATAGCCTCTTTGTATTGATGAAGATTTTCATAGACACGAGCCACATTAATATGTGTAATAGCTCTCGAAGAATGATTCAATGGAAGCGTTTTTTCTTGTATTTCTAATGCTTTGTTATAGTAGAAGAGTGAAGTTGCATTGTCTCTCATAGATTGATGTACCTTTCCAATATTGTTACAGATGAAGGATAGTGAGACATGATCGTATTCAAATATTTTTGTCGCAATTTCAAGCGCCTTTTCAAAATGTGAGAGTGCAACCGAATAATTTCCTATCGAATAATGAACTCCACCTAGATTGTTATGAGTTATGATGAAATCAAGATGATCTGGACGTAATACTTTTTGTTGTATTTCGATGGCTTTTTGAAATGATTCAAGTGCTTTGAAGAGATCCCCAATCAAATTCTGAGTCTCACCATATTTATTGTAGGTTAATGCCAGTGCGGAATAATTCAATGGAAGTGAATTTTGTCGAATTTCAAGAAGTTTCTCAAAGAAAATGAGTGCAGTCGAGTAAGCTCCCATCGATCGATGTACCTCAGCAATATTGTTATAAGTAATAGCTAAATCTGAATGATTGGAAGGAAGAGATTTTAGTCTAATATCAAGTGTTTTCTCATAATATAATAATGCATTTGAGTAATCATCTATCATAAAATATGTTGCACCAATGTTATTGTATGTAGTAGCTAACGATGTATGATTAGATGGAAGAGATTTTTGTTGAATTTCGAGTGCTTTTTTATAGAATTCAAGTGCTTGCGAATAATTTTCCATTGCTTGATATACACCGCCAATGTTATTATGAGCAATAGCTAAAGAGGGATGATTAAGTGAAAGAGATTTTTCTACAATTTCAAGTGATTTTTGAAAGAATGAGAGTGCAGTAGTGTAATCATTCATTGCATGACAAACTCCAGCAATGTTATTATAAGCCTCAATCAATGAGGGATGGTTGATTGATTGAGATTCTTCTAAAATTTTGATGGTCTTTTTAAAGTATGATAATGCAGTGATGTTGTCTCCCATTGATTGATACACACTTCCAATGTTATTGTATGTAGTAGCTAGCGATGGATGATTGGATGGAAGAGATTTTTCTTGAATTTCAAGTGATTTAACATAGTAAACGAGTGCAGCAGAACAATCACCCATTTGTTGGTGTATGTCTCCAATGTTATTGTAGATAGTAGATAGGGATGGATGATTGTTTGGAAGAGATTTTTCTTGTATTTGCAATGCTTTCATATAGTATGACAGTGCAGTGACATTATTTCCCATTGCTCGATATATTGCACCGATATTATTGTAAGTTTTTATTAGAGACGGATGATCGATTGGAAGATATTTTTCTTGAATAACAAGTGTCTTCTCATAAAATGAGAGTGCATTCGAATAATCACTCATAGCATAAAAGATTCCACCAATGTTATTAGTAGTATCAGCTAATGAAGGATGATTAAATGGAAGATAAGTTTTCTTTATTTCAAAAGTCTTTTGATAGTATGAGAGTGCCAGTAAGTTATTTCCCATAAGTCGATATACTTCACCAATATTGTTATAAGTAGCTGCAATCTGCAGTTGATTTGGTTGTGGAGCACCAAGATCAATGTTAAGAGCACGCTCATAATATTCTAATGCACCGTGAAGATCATTTTGACAGCATAAAATCGAGCCAATGTTGCAATAGGTTGCGGAAAGTTCAGGATCATTGGATGACAGATAAATTAATTTGATATTAAGAGATTTCTTGTTGTGAAAGAGTGCTTTAGAAAGATCTCCTTTCATAGAACTTATGTATCCTAGCATATGATACACATGGGCAAGTTCTTTCCAATCATGATTACCTATCGTCTCTTGAAGCGTCTCGTAGATTTCTTCGGCTTTATTCAATACACCCATTTTGATCATTAATTGACCTAAACGATGCAATCCGGTTGATCCTTGTGTTTCTATTCTCAGACATTCAGTAAGACGATTGAGTTGTTCATCAGTGTCTTTTGTTAGTGACAAATTGACTTGCCATAATCGATCATCTATTTGTACGATTTCATCAATTCTGAATACTGAATGCATTGAGAAAAGAATTTCTTTTTCTGAACCTGAGAAATAACTTATATTATCTATCGAAGCAAATGGAGTTGATGAAAGCATTGGATCAATTTGCATTCTAAAGAGAACTCCTATTAAAGTTGGATTATTTCGAGCACTTTCTGCAAAGATTTTTGCAACTTCTTCATCAATACTTGTCGACAAGAAATTATTGAAAGAAAGAAGAGAACCATTACTTTTTCTTAAATTATCAAATTCAAAATTGGACATTCCTTGTCCTCGATAGACGATCAATGGATGATGATTGTTTGATTCCAAATATAGTCGCTCGATATGTCGATGAAGATCTCGAAGGAAATATCCCATTTTCATGATAATCTCAGTATCTTGTACCCTGAGAGCTCTATTGATCACTGCATATATAAATGATTCTTTTGTATACCACCAAATAGGTGAATGAAGATCATATTCTCGCTCAAATTCATCCATATGAATACGTTGTTGTTCGTTATCAGAGTTTTGTAAACGACAAAAGTCGATAAAATTTTTCTTTGCTTTATCATCATATTTCATATCGAGAATAATTTCTTTAAGTAACTGTGAATACATAAATGATTGATTAAGTTCATTTATGTCATTGACAGATGATGATATAAGAATACTAATTGGTGTCAAATCTTTTTCAGCGTGTTCAATATTTTGTTTAATTTCATCCATAATAGATCCAAGCTGACTAAATATTCCTTTCACTTTTTTCTGATTATTTATCGACTGTTTACATTTTAATTCTTGAGTACAAACCACATAGATTGAATCGAGTTGAGATATTTCTTGAGCAATAGGTATGATTTGTTCCGCAAATATGTCGGATATAATTAGAAATATATTTTTCTCTATAGTTTTGTTGAGAAAGTCAATGCACTGATTCGAATCTTTAAATATTGCTATTGTACTACAAATATGTCGAAGTTGATTGATTGACTTATAACGATCATCATCAGATTCATTCATATTTAAAGACAAACAAACGACAATACAATCTGGAATAATGAGATGTGAATGCACAAGATCATGGTTGTTATCTTCCTCTTGAATATTGTCATGTGCAATAAGAGTTCTCCTTACTTCATTGAAAGATAAGTTTGTGGTGAATTTCGAGCATTCTTGCTCCATTATACATCAAACAGTAACAAAAATAAATAAAATCATTCAATGAATATTTTTAGTTTATGATATAAATGTGTGTCGTATTTATGTAAACCTCTCTCTTTTCTTGTTACGCATCATTGATACGCATGCTATTTTTTTGCTTTTTCTCTTATTCGGGAGCATGCTTCTCATTTCTTTTTATATGTTTATCGATTATGCTCGTTTTGATAAAAAGGAAGTATATACACAATACTTGTCAATCATCGCTCTTGTTAAATATAACTTAAATAAGTGTTTAAATAATTAAAAAAAAATAAAATAAAAAATGAACATTAAAATCTTTTTAATATTTTTTATAGTGTATTTTTCGTCTTATCAACATTTGTTTTTTTTCTTAATTTCTAATTTAATGAAGGAATAAATAAATCTATATATGAATTTAAATAAATATATATGTTCAATCAAAAAATAACTTCTATTATGTCATTGATTTTATTATAATTCATATAAAATTATTTTAGAAATGGATTAAATTTATTATTATTACTTAATAGTTTTAAGCAATTCAGTCCGACGATACACTGTGCTTAATAAAACTAATTAAAATTCCCAATTCTTCTTACTTGACTTATATATTTAATTGAATAAATCAAATATAACTAATGTTCATTTCAGAGATAAGTGACCGTGAGAATTTTGAACCATGTACAGAAAGATTTTTCTAAATACTATTCTAATGGTTTTGTATAAAACTTCAAGAAAAACAGCATGCCTCTCATTGTTGCGATAATAATTTATTGATTTTCAGAAGTGCGCTAGAATATCGAACAAAGAGTCACTTATTAAAACCATTCGAAAAATAATTAGAAAAACCTTTCTTTAGATGATTCGATGTGTCCTCATCTACTCTTTTCAACGGTGAAAATCGCAGGTCTCTATCTCATTCCTATCAAAAGTTATTGCAAAAATGCCCATGACCACTGATCTCTGAACTATATGTATCAATGATAATTGATTTAGTGACACAAGAATCAACTCAATAATAAGATCCAATGAATTCTTATTGAATCTTATCATGAATCATCCATATAATCCTCTTTATGATTTCTTTGAGGAAACGTTGATAAAAAAAAATAACAATTATTTTTCAGAGAATTCCAAAGTACGACTAACACTTTATATGATAGAAATAGCACTGTTTGTCTCTGGTTTTTGCTTATACAAAAGAATTCTATTAGTAAAATCAAAAACAGTGTATTTCATCTGCTCCATGAGAAAAATCTCTTCGAGAGCTAAGTCATTTTATATAGATATAACAACTGCAATATTCATTCATTTACACTGATACTATTTACATAATAGCTTCTATCATTCATATTAACAAACTTTTACAACATTTTGATTATATTCAAAAATCTTATCGAGTAACATTCATGATTATTACTTATAATATTTAAAGTTCGTCATTCATAGTCTCATCCTGATCGATCTAGATCTTTTCAACAATTGTTAGAAGTTGTTGAAATATATTTAGTTCACTTTATTTATTAACTAATTACATTTATTATTTCTAGACTTTTCTAGATCATGTTAACAATAAGTCCATGAAAAGTTGTACATGGTTAAACAAAACTATACATAACAACAGAAAAACAATTACATTAATGTGTATATTGAGGTACATAGCAGGCTTTATTAGTAAATGGTAAAATGCCAATTATTGAGTGCTATAAACCGCTCTCCTGAAACATTCTTTATGTGACATCCAATGGTTTATTACTACACGTACGTTTAGAACATAATCGTTCTTGGATGAGGATCAGCACAATGATATGCATCAGCTGATGACAAATCAAAACAAAGAGCATCATTTTGACATGGTTTCAAAGCATGTCGAGATCCAACTGGATATACTGTTGTATTTACTAAAATAATACAAATTGGTATAAAAAATTCAAATATTATTTTTTCTCATATTAACTTACTCGTTTTATTGACACATTCATCATCTTGAAATGTCACCTTAGTACCTGCTGGACAGAATAGTTCAATGCCTAGATTAGTTCAGTGCAAAAAACATAACCTGATTTATTCTCAAATCATCTCACCGTTTTGTCTACGTTATAACGGTAACAAAGGTCATATGTCACTAAAATGATGAGTATAAGTAAAGCCATTTGTATTGGATAAATATTTTACAGTTCATCTCTCACTACCTAGAGTTAATTATATTATGCAAACATTAAATCAATCGAATTGTTATATAAATGTAAGGAAACTTTTCCATTTACTAGATATACCATGAGAGATTACACATTGATCGATTCATATAACCTAAACAATATACTTAATTCACTTGTATTTTGTATCGAATAGCTCTCAAGCTTAATGATCGCTTTATATAAGTCCACTAAAATCGATCAGAGTCCATCAGGATCTATTGTTTTTCTTTTTGTTAGATATGTTTCTTGGAATATTTTGGATGGGTATGCGTGTGAGTGCAAGTATGGAGTGTGAGTGTTGTAGAAAGGGAGACATACCCAAATCCACAACCACACCCACACTCCATCCTATCTTAATAATTTACAAAAAGACACTGCACTGAATAGTCAGATATATGATAACAAATTGTAAAATTGACTGAATAAAGGTCATTTAAAATAAGAATACACAAAATATCGTGTCTAACAATCCATGACTATTCTAAAAGGTTTTGTTTTAAGTTAGTTTACACTTTACATAAATTTTATGCGTATCATGAAGTATAACAGTATCAAATAAATTATTTGAACTATTGGTCTTTAATTACAAACATACTTGTCATGGAACATTAAGCCGTTAACAGTTGATAAAAAAAATAATAATTTATGATAGGATCAAGTTTTACATAGAAACATTCTACACCAGCATGTTGTTTTTATCGTTAATAAAAAAAATCATTCGTTTTTCTCATTATGAAATGTAAATTATTATTTATCGAGTCTTTCTTATTACGAATAGTATGAAAATAAAAGGATGCTCTATGAATGTTCTATATTATACTATATATTACATATGCTACAACGAAGAAAAAATAATAACATTTCACATTTTCCTCTCAATCAATTCATCCGTCTCAAATAATAAACCTTACAAAAATTAGAATATTCTCTTTTGATATCTCAAAATGAGTCAATGGTCTATAGAAGAACAAATTCCCTCTCAACGTCAAGGTGTATCGACAAGATCCAATGAAGTCTCTACGTATAATTCGAATGGACCTCTCTCAGTTGATCAAAATAACGAAATGTAAAGGCAATGACTAATCTATTAAGTTTTAATATATCATATTATTCTTATATATTCAGACCGGCAGTATCAAGCAAACTATTAAAATCTTGTACATTTGTATCACCATTGTTGCACGGTTTATTACTAGGTATACTAATAGTTGGTTTAATATTGGCTATTGTAATCACATTGTGGTTAACGTCGTCTCAGCAAACATCGACAACAACGAGTAAATACATTATCTATTCTTTCATCATTTTAGTCAATGTTGGTTGTTTTATTCAAAAAGATTTGCGTCTTCCAAAATACTCCACATGATCATAGAAGGGTGTGGGTGTGGATTAAGCAAATAGCAACATCGACATCCACACCCACACCCACACCCACACCCAATCCACCTGCTGTTGTATCAACATTGTTGATACAGTCAAAGATATATAATGACACGACAAATTGTTTATGTGCACAAGGATCAAAATGTTTAAATCCAGCAATGTTTACTTCACCAACTCATGTCGAAATAAAAGGTCTTCATATTGGTTGTTTACCTAGTGAGTCATTATTAGCATCAACATTTGAATGTTTTTATGATAGTAATTGTATTGATCTTATTCGAAATCATATGTTTGGAAATGTAAGTTTTTAATTTTTCTTACATTACATTAAATGATATTGATAATTTTTCAGAAAAATCGAACACTTGCATTACCTCTTAATGATAGTGATGTATTTAATTCAAACTACAATCCAAATACAACAATTAATAATATTGCTAGTGAACTGTTCATCGAAGATTGGTCTATGAAAGCACACTACGATCGTTATTTCACTGAATGTACATCAATCAATTGTTTCTATTCATATACGGAACGTGCTAATCCATTCTATGTAGCAACTACATTACTTGGCTTGTACGGTGGATTAACAGTTGTATTACGTTGGTGGTCACCACGTCTTGTCAAACTCGGTCGGCAAGTGCAAATCTATTATATGAGAAAATGTCGAAATAATATTATACCTGTCACAACATGAGTCCATGTACGAATCTGATCATTTTGAAACACTAGTTTTATTTAGAGAATTCATTCAATATTTTATGCTTCATTATTTATCCATGGCTTATTCCTTATTGAATAAAATTTCAATTAAAATAATATCATATCATTTTAAGTTGGTGATAAGCGTGAGAATTTTATTTAGCATCACAATGAACAACGAATGCTAGATCAAAAAGTTAGTCGAAGTAACAATCAGGATTGTGATTATGAACATATTCATTGACTCCATGCAAAGATGAAAAATAATCATGGTCTGAAAGAATTCAAAGTTGAAATGATACCCTCCATTGGATTGTGTTGTACTCCATAAAATTTCTACGTTCCGAAGCCGTATAAAATAGTATTGAACGTTGTGTAGTCCAACTGAATCATGTTTCATGACATACAAATGAACTCTAATGTTTTAATTTCTATTTTACTAGATTTTATAAAGTTACAGTAATTTTATGACACAACAGTAATATCGTGCTTCGATGAAAAGGCCTAGAGCTTTAATGAACTTCAATTAAAACTAAAGTTACAAAGTCCATTGTTTTCTCCTATCTTAAAAATCAACTAGGAATCAATGAAGTTTTATTGAAGTTCGTGCAACTATATGAGATTCGGTTGGCAATACTTTTATTCACAGATTAAAATAGATTTGAATACTATCCATCATGTTTTAATCAAATGCATTGAGCTTTTGTCTGTTAATAGAGAAGCATGCTATCCTTTTATTCTTAAAAAAACAAGTAAACAATTTCTATTCAATGTTATTAATTCTGAGTAACATAGAAAAATTTAGTATTTCATGATTTAAAAAAATATAACGATATAGAATTCTCTCTTATAACGCTTTCTATTGGAAAAAAATTCAAATAGATTTCAATCCAAAACAACTTGAAACAAAATAAAAATGATCTGTAAAACTCTTTTTAGTCTTTAGAGATCTGTTGAAACAAAAGCTCACTGTTTCAAGTTGGTAGAACTTCATTTTTCGATGAAATCTTATTTTTGAGTTTTGACTTGAAACTGTGCTCATGTAAAAACTTCACTTAAACTATTTTGAATACAAAATTTCTGAATTTTCGGATATTGTCTTTCTGAGATATCAACATTTCCAACTTTCGATGCTTTCTTAATGATATTGCGTAAAACACAGAGGTTTTCAAACATTCGGTCAAACTTGATAGCTTTGAAGAGAATTTGTGAAATTCTCTTATAAGAATAAAAGCTTGGAATTCCTCTCTAGTGAAGTTATCTTATAGGAGAAATTTCATTTTTTTTAATTTTACATAACAAGAGGAAGGTTAATAAAAAATATCATATAGAATTAAAAATAAGAGTAGCTATAATCGAATAAAATTGAACTTGACGTCGCATACCTACTAAATAAGCGAAATGTTTTTCGTAGTTAATCACCAAATTGTAATAAAAGCCGATATGCGATATAATTTCTGAAAACAACTACACTGCAATATCCTTTCGCAGTTAATACTTTGTGCAAAGACATGTTAAATAATCAATTACGTGCATATGTTCAAAAAAATGGTAGTAGTATTATCAGCAAAATTAGCGACAACAAGATCCACTCTTGTATCGTTATTGAAATCGCCCAGCACCAGAGACCTTGGACTGATGCCTACTTTATATGTCCTCTGAGTCTGGAACGTGCCATTACCATTTCCAAGAAGTATACTGATAGTATTACTACCAGAGTTAGCTATAACGAGATCTACATTGGCATCATTGTTGAGATCATCCACTCGGACTTCTAATGGACTTAGTCCTGTCGTAAATTTTGTCTGACTCAGAAAGCTTCCGTTACCATAGCCAATTAGTATACTTACACTCTCAGCTAAACTGTTAACTACGACTAAATCTAGTATTCCATCATTGTTAAAATCATCCGATTCTACACAAGTCGGTCCTGTGCCTGTTGAATATGTTGTCTGAAAGACAAAATTTCCATTACCAATACCAAGGTACACCCCAACATTGTCATTTAAGTAATTCGCAACAGCAAGATCGAGTATAGAATCAGTGTTGAAATAACTAGATGTGATGAAGTACGGATTTGAACTTGTCGCATACGTCACTTGATTCACAAAGGTGCCATCACCTTTGCCAATGAGAATGCTGACGGTATTACTACCACCATTCGCAATAGCTAGATCTTGTAGGTTATCACCATTAAAATCACCCGATGTCACAGAAGTCGGATTTGCACCTGTATTATTAGTTTTCGCCGTTTGAAATAGCCCATCACCATTACCAAGTAAGACACTGAAGGTACTACTATTCAAGTTTACCGTTACAAGATCCAGTATGACATCATTGTTGAAATCATTGGTTATTACAGAGTCTGGTCTTGTGCCAGCTGCATAAGTAACCTGACTTTGAAAGGTACCATCACCTAGACCAAGAAACACGCCGACATTGTTACTACCGGAATTGGCGACAGCCAAATCTAATCGTGCATCTCTGTTAAAATCGCCTGCTGTGATAGAGTATGGAAAGGCTCCTGTTGAGAAAGTTGTCGATGTCCCAAAAACATTCGTACAGATTGCCACTGAAATAGTACAATATTAAATGAATGCACAGCACAATTAAAAGGATATGAAATCGGTATATTCAACTAGTGTAAACAACAATTTATTTTTGAAGTATTTGCTTTTTGTTAAACTTAAATACAAAAAAAAACAAGAGTGGTATTACAATCAAGTTTTTCATCTTCACTCAAATTATAAAGAATATTGTCAATCAATGTATAGACATTCATCTATGAAGCTGATCTGCAAGAAAATAACACAAGACTAAAGGAAAATTTGCGAATGCTGAATGAGTGAGTGTCAGCCAATAGGAAAACGAGATATTGGCAAGACTTTTATCAGTACTGATCAGTGCACATTTTTGTGTCATCCGAGCAAGAAAGATGAATTATCCGATATGAAAGCTCATATTCTTTTCTTTAGAAAAAATTAAATAATTACTACTATTATTCACGATTCCTTAGGAAGTTGATATTCAAAATCGATATGTTTTCCAATAATTTTCATTTGTCATATCGTAAAATCTTACCACTCACATCTTTACTATTATAAAAAGTATTCACACTGTATGCCCTGTATGGAAAATCTAACAAAGCACCTAGTATATTTTCAAATTCCCAATTTTAGATTTCATATTAATCACCAAGCTGTATCTTAGTAAATGTCTCTGTCGATCCTTTCTTGACTCTCAATGAGCTATGCCTCTAAAAAATACTAGCACTCATATGAAATTTTCAACAAAATCGATCGGAGCCAACTTGAGCCATTAGCATCAAACTGCTAACTATTGCTTACGTTTTGGTGAAAACTTTCGATACGAAGATCAAAGCTGTGTCATTTCAGGTGAATTTCTTACCAATCTTTTACTTGAGCTGGTTCTACTATCTAGCTTTCAAATGACATTTCATGCAAAAATGAATGTTTAACAATGCTCAAGATATGATTTTAACAAAGCTATGATACTGTCGTACTAAAAGCTACAACGAATATCGATTGATTAATGGAATATCAACTTAGTAGGCCTAGTAGTTTTCTCTTGCACTCTAGATCCAAAATGAATCTAATAGAATTCGCACCGATTAGTGTTAGACAATTATCATAAAAGAATGAGCATCCGTCACTAGTGCTTTCAAGATTTTTTTAATTTTAAACTGAAACATAAAATAAGAATAAATGATCATCCTTAGTTATAACCGTTCGAGAGTGGGGGCTGGAAGGCACACCTTTTCTTTGTAGTTGTTTGAGCTCGTCTAAGAATCGTACTTCACGAAATGTCCATACTCATATGAGGTTGTTTCGATCGTTTTTCATTAGATGTTTGACGAAATATGTAGCGAAATACAGAAGATCCTGTCGTCTTATGATCAAAAATAAACTGTATAATCACAGGTACTATGATTCTCTTTAATTAAAAAACAACTCAAGCAAAATATTGTCCATAATGTTGTGTGCATAGATGGAGAATTGGAATTGATTGATTGCATACTAGCAAAGCAAAGTAAGTGACATAAGCTAGAAAACAGTAAAATGTTCGTGTAACTGATGACTAGCTATACCCTATTGAGACCGTCGTGTGCTGATTAAAATAGTTTTACGAAAAAACGATAGAAATAAAGAAGATCGGTAGAAATTGACGGATACTTGCGCTAAAAATTATGAAACAAGAATAGCAAAAATTTTGTATTTGGTTTGTTATTCTTCCTTGCAATCCTATACAGTCAGATTAATATAATAAATCGTGAAATGTTCTTGAATAAATCTGATTAAAATAGAACTTGATTTAGAGTCTCACACACAAGAAACCAATAGTGATCAGACAACTAACCTGTTGTTGTTGTTGTCGTTGCTGTTGATAATGTTGTTGCTCTTGTTGTTGTTGTTGCTGTTCTTGTCGCTGTTGTTGTGGCTGTTGTCGAATTTCCATTATTGATGGATATGATGTTAGAAGTAGACCCTGTTATTGAGCTTGTGGCTGTAACGAATATTAATTTTTGGTTGCTATCATTTATTCCGATACCCAAACCTAAACCCAGTGCCATGCCAACTATCACTAGACTACTGCTAAGTCCCACAGCTACGACTAGAGATAATGGCTGCCAAGGACTTTCTCCTTCTGATGTGATGATCAGAGGACTCTCCATGATCATTAATGATGAGTACATGATATATTTTTTACAAATGTAATTAAATCTTTTCCTTCACTTTTCTTTTGCTCCTAATATGTTCTCTATTTAACATCCAGATGCGACTATTTATAAATGCATGAGGAAGAGAAAGAGAAGAGAACCCATCAATGGCCTTCGACATGATGACGTAGTCATTATAAAAAAGAAAAAAGAAAATGTATGTTGACGGGTTCTATCCGTTACCATTCTTTATAGTCATGTTCAGGGACATTTGCCACACAGGTACATATGTATGTATAAATTAATTATCTCTCTCTCTTCTTTTTTTTTAATGCCGCATTGGCCTTGTGTTTATTTCTGTTGTACTCTTTCATTGATTCTTTGAATAAAATAGGAGCGAGTTAGTCGTGCTATGATATCATATCATCATTAATTTATATTTACCTTTAATCACAAGGTTTTCATCCTGAAATCAACATTTGTTAGGTATAACAACAAATATATTGCTTGTTTTATAATTTTGACAAAACACTGTATCTGAGAAGATTACCTACATTGGTCATGGATCTTCTGAAATAAGCTGAGATAGTTACCTATAGTATGAAATGTGTATTAAATTTAACGATTTTCAAAGAACCGGCGTAAAATCGTGATTAATCGCATTTCATAAAAAAAACAGTGATTAAATCAAATTTTATCAAGTTTATTGTAAATGAAACGATTTTTTCAAAACACAGCAATACATCGTATTTAATAACTGATTTCAGCAACTGATTACGAATTGAGTATTAATTAGAGAAATTTTCGAAGGTTTCTTAAATTGGAAGACGAATATTATTTCTATAAATTTTCAACTCAACTTTACATTCATCTTCATTCATTTCAAACGATGTTTTTGAATGTATAGATCATTTCAAATATATTTTTCGAGCAACTAATTTTTTCATTAGACTTTTTTTCTATTGTAGATTCAGCTTTAGATGCATCTTTCACTCTTAACTAGATTGATGTAAAGTTGAAAACTTGTCTTTATTCTTTAATAAGACATCTTCTATCATTATTCTTTTGAGTTCTGCTTTTTAGTTACTATTTTTTTTGTGTAGAGTGATTTCAGAGAAAAGCTCGATTCAAAGCATGAATTTGTACAAATGAATGTTTTTAATATTTTTTATTTGTTTATCGATTGTGTCTTCATTCAACTATGAACAATTGTGTATCGCATTAGTCATTGGAGAAAATCGGCGATTTATAGCATTTCAATTCATGATTATCATTTCGATAGATCAGGATTAATCATCAAATTTATCGTAGTTTCAATGACTTGGGACTATTTATTTGTACGATTCAAATAAGATAGTAGATCAATGTCAAATAAGACTCATCGATTTGCTCGATTTTCATGTTCAAATTGACCTAAAATAAAGAAAAAAAATTTATCTAATTAAATAAGATACTTACTGTTCAATTTTCATGTTCAAATTGACCTAAAATAACGAAAAAATTTATTTAATTAAGTAAAATACTTACGGTTCAATGTCACTGTTGAAATTGACCTACAATAAAGAAAGAAAAAGATTTAATTATTTAAGTTAAATTTGCTCCGTATAGCTCTGAGTAACAAAAACAATAATGATGAACAACTTTAAAATGATTTACTTTTAAAAGTCGATTTAATAATACGTAAAAATACACGCATTATTTTGCATTGAATATGACACCTCCATCTAATTTTTCTAGTCCCCACAGTAATGCTAATAAAACTCGTTATCTTGGTTAAGACAGCTTTGCTTCGCCATAAAGAATATTCAAAATATTTTTTAGACACATTCTGCAAATTACAATGGACAAAAATACATGTTTTCATATCATCGGATTCGACGATTTCCGACTATCGAATGTCATCGGTTTTCATTGGATCCGACAATTTCTGACTATCGGATCTCATCGGATTCGGTTGCCAGAATCTGACAGAATCCGATGTCGGACATCGTCGGAAATTAACGGATAATGAGGGTTTCCGATGGTCGGAATCCCATCGGATCCGACTGTCGGAAACTGTCGGATTGTCTCGGATCCGAAAGGGTGAGTTCGACCTGGGATGACAACAATTAGATAACTAAGTCTATTCATAGAAATTCCTGCTATTGGTCTACTGCCATCTAATTCTTCTGATTGAAACATTCGAATTTAATGGTTGAAGAATTCTACTACATATAAATCAAAGTTAGTATTAATAAATATCTCTCATGGACAATAAAATATATTTGAGATTGATCGGTTTAGTACGATTTCTGCGAACAACTGTTGATGTATTTGAGTTATCACTCAATGATTTTGTAACAACATGATGAAGATCATACATGGAACAAAAATCATAAAATTTTGCATTTGTAAACATTGTTGGAACATCGATTATTGAATTTAATGTTCATTTATCTAGTCGACCATTTTGGTTAGTACTATTGAGATAAATCTCATCTGATAGAGTCACAAAAAGACTTCATGAAGTTAATAAATTATCCGAAAGAATGTTTGTTGGTGGAATATTTCCTACTGACCACACAACAATTTGACCATATCGTTGATTAGGCAGGTCAATTGTGTTGTTCGTATCGATAAAAATCTCTGCAGGAAAATAAGCAAAGCGATTGATAGGAGCGAAAGTTGTCGGTTTGTATTCGATGTCATCTTTGGACAACACTTTAGTTGATTAGAAAAAAAAGCCAAGAAACAGAAGAAGAATTTCTGAAATGAAAACTTCAACTAATTATTGATTAAAAGAATTTCAAAGAAATTGTTTTGTTAATATCATTTGGAATTTTTTTTGGAAAATAATTTGATATTTTTATGAAAATATATTGAAGACTACTCAAGAGATATTCCAAAAAGAGTTCTAAAAATAAATCAAATTACTAATAGATGAATTTTACCATTATATTACTTGAATCTTCTTTTATTTTACGTTTTCAAATCGAAAATATTTCATATATAATAAAACTCATCTAATTGACAATCGTATTATATTGTAGTCTTATTTTTATCGTATATTTTCTCATCAAAAACAACTTTTCTTTACTTCTCTTCTTTTTTTCAGAGTAAAACTAAATCAACACCCTTAAGATATCAAATTTTGATATTCTTCTCAAATCGAGCGTCTTTTCAAAAATAAAGTCGTTAAAGAATACTTCTGTCCATAGAAATTGATTTCAATGTTTATTTGAACGAGATATGTTTAGATTTGATCATTGTCTTCATATATGATTAATAAATATTCAATATCTTGAGCTATTTTATTAATTTTCTTCGTAATAAGATCTCCAAGATTAAATGTTCCAATAATAAAAGGTGAACACTACCAAGCTTTTCTACCATAATTAAACCAACCACTATTTGATACACCACATGGAATATATCTGACCATAATAATAATCTTATAAATAAAACATAGAATTGAACAAATGAATTTTTAAGATTTTTGATAATTCCCAAAATGAAAGTTCATTTTCAACAAGATATAATTCAACACTATTACCAGGATTTTCTTGTTTAAATGAAGCCATTTGTTGATTCATTCTTATATTAACTGAAGGAATATATATTAAACGATAATAAACATAAATAGCCAAACCAGATAAAATTATTAATACACTCATAAATATATAAAATGATAATTGATCTACATCAATTTTACTATGAAACAATAAAATAATTAAACGAATTATTGTATTTACACTAACATTTAAAAATCCAGCAATGCCATATATTGGAGATTCAGTTAATGTATCAAGAGTTCCAACAGTTCCAAAAACAATAATTAATAAAATTTTATTTTTGAAACTCATAACAAAAATAGCAATTATAATATAACCAGTAAAATCAAGGATAACACGTTTTGTAAATCCCTGTTTATAAAAATGAATATATAATTGTATTATATGAAGAATAAACATTGGTCAACCAGTTTCTTCTACTATTTCTCAAAAATCGAATATGATCATGTGGAAAAAATCTTATATAGCAATTTTGTGCAGATATTAATGATTGATATGCCCATAATACAGCTAAATTTTAAAAAAACGAAGTCGCCAATGTATCTCGTTATGATGTTTTAAGATATCATTTTCTGTTCCTTTCACAGCAGGAACTATTTCAACGATATGTATTTGTAAGTTTTTTTTTTTGTTATCTGTTTTCTACAGAATCCATTTTTACCTAAAGAATAAACAATATTCATTAGCAGTTATTTAACAAATTAATATACACGATCATTTACTTATTCGAACAAAGAATCTTTCATTTAAATAAATAAATGTATTTGTCCAACAGATAAACTATTAGAACATGTTATAGGACAAAAAAAAATTATCATGGCTGATATTTGCCAGTATTTATTTATTCTATTTCCTTCATATCAACCATATTTGTCCGTGTGAAAAAAAATTTCAACTTTGACGAACTTCAACACAACGGGTCGTACACGAACAAGGAATATGACAACATTTTTCGTTCGATCGACATGCACTGTCACCATGGCATTTGATTTCAGTCATTGAAGGCAAACATACGATGCGTCGACGGCAAATAATGTGAAAGGGCAGACTTGAACATGCGCCTGTCAATTATTGAAATAGTTTTCAAGATAGATTTGACAATAGTTATTTACCATCATGAACTTCTGGCGTTTCGAATGAAGCGATACAAACTACAACCAGTGTAAGAAAAGCGACGACTGTGAGTGAATGCATTTTTTTCAATTTGTGTAGGAAAGATGAAGTGTCTAATATTGATATCGATTGGGTTTATAAAGAAAGTGCTGTGGGAATAAAAGACAAATGAGTACATGATCAACAGATAAAGGCGCATTTTGATACGTGCATGAAAAATGCACTTTATCACTTCGGCAACCATTATTCCTGTGCAGAATCGGAAAGTATGCATCGCTATCCTACTCACAAACGAAGAGATATTCATCGGTACTCAAGTAAAAACAAGTAACGTTCATCGACAGTCGATTCACCTGGCCCTAGACTGACGTCATAAGGACACATATGTGTTAGAAAGTTATAAGATTAGGATTAAAAAGTTAATACTAAAATTCCTCTGAGTACAAAAAAGCGCTAATAAAATTAGCGCTATTTATATTCAATAAAATCACATTTAAAATAATAACATTTTCATACATCATAAAATTCCGTATTTGTTCTGATTCACTTGTCACAATTTTATTATACATCATATGCTGATTTGTAATATGGGTACTATATGGTCTTTTGTACCATATTTACCAAAATGGTCACTAGTGCCGTAGTTACGTGGTCGTTGTCTCAAAAAAAATAGTAATTTGTGAAAATTATACATCTATGTTTCTCATTAATTATTTTGAATATTTGCCCACATTGCTTTTGAAAAACCTTTACAGTTATGATACAAAATACTATAAGTATGTTCATTGTCATTTGGCCACGTCGTTGACCAAATATTTTTAATTTGGTAAAGATACCTCTCTCCAAGTTCAGAGGCAACGCAGTTGCTTTTGTATTGATATGCTCCACAACGTGCTCTTTTACCTACAGTTTTATTAATATTGTAAATCGAAATTTAATGCCACTTATCAAGCCCTACCTGTATTGGAATAATCGAATGTGTAATAACCGGTGCAGCCACATTCCGAACAATGGTATTGACATTCAATGGCTTCATGCGTTAGATTACCATTCGAACCGGTCATTAATTCGGATATACCTGCAGTGGCCAAACGAATAACTGTTCGACCAAAATTAAGCCAACCTTCGGTAGCACCATCGATCATGGGCACTTCGATCCAGCGGATATGAACGACTACTTTTTTACCGAATGTACATTTGCATTCCGAATGGTTTTCCCAACGACCATAATAATTATCGTCGAATCTCATTTTTTTCTGAAAAGTGAAAAGAAAATATTTTCAAATAATTTTCTTTTGCGATTGACAGTTTCCAATATTTGTTTTTTAATCCGTGCTTAAGTGAAGTCTCAAAATAATTGTGACACAGGAAGCAAGCGTTTTTCTACAACACGAATACAGTTTTTAAACGCGATTTATAATTCAGAGAAGAGGGATTTAAATCGAAAAGCACAAAAAAGGGCTTCAGATTCTCTCTATTTTTTTTAAATTTGATATAAGCATTTGATTCTTGTTTGTAATTTCTACTACTTAATTGATTATCGTTCAAGGTTTAAGCGTAAGTGTAAAAATTGAAGAAAACAATCTTCTTTATTTCGATTGAAATAGTGTGTACCATTAGTTTTACCATAGATACGCTATCAATCCTATTAAGATTTTTAATGAAAGGTTCCCATTAGCCATCTATCTATCATAATCTTGACTACTCGTGAAAATTGCACCTGTTTCTTGATCAGTTACATAAGGAAATAAAAGTAATAATTTTTATTTCTATGCAATTTGTCGCATAAGGCGAAGATTTTATACTTTTCGTTTATTTAGAAAGAATTTCTTGTATTCTACTTACGTATGTGCAAGGTTCTTGCTAGAATCGAGTATGATTTATTGCCTCTTCGATTGAATACTGAATATCGTCGTAGCTGTGGATTTTATGTATTGCAATTTTTTTCTCTAGTTTTTGTATCTAAAAATTACGCTTGATCATCTTACTCTTTACATTTCTACGAGATTTCGCGAGAAGAGCTACTCCTATCGATCTACTCAAGCTCACATATTTTTTTAGTGAAATACAGAATGTTTTTTTGTAATTCACAAGAGTCTTAAAATTTTCTGTTACTAAAAATAAATTTTATTACTACATAAGTAAACACTATTGGAATAAACCATTGCAGATGACATCACCTAAAAACATCGTAAGCATTAATCATGCAGCTTTTACCTTTTTTTAACTTCCGACTGCATTACAAACGGTATAAAGAAAACATCTTACCTTTTCATTTTCTCTTTATGAAAGTCACCATTTTATGAGAGACATTTTACTGTTGAATTACCAACATAATCGACTACCATGGCTTGTGTTATGAATGAGTTGATCATGGATCATACAAAGATTCTCAGTGAAGATGAACTGCAACTAACGAATATTGATGAGCAGGAAAAGAGAAATCTGGTAAAGCAGTTTGTTCATCATTTTATGATAATCGATGATGTCAGTCGATTGATAGAGAATAGCAGATAGTAAGTTTGATGGTATTTGTTTGTAACTGAGTTTTTGTCTAGTAAGATGTTTTAACAAATAAAATGATGACCATCGTCTTACGATGTTTTGTACTTTGATAGGAAAGAAAATTTTTCATTAAACAAGCAAGTAACTTGCAAAAAAATTGTTCAATGGCAGAACTCATTCTTTGACAGCGTGATAGAAAGAAGAGACGAGCAATCTTTTAACGAGGGCAGAGATACGGCAACCTTAACATGTGAACAGAACTCGTTGATCGGACTTTATCAATCGACGAGCGACGAGATCACCGAAGATGGATTTCTAAGAATAATCGTTATTCTCAAAAATACAACTTAAAACGTGACAATTCAATCAAATACGAAATTTTTCAGTGGATTATTGCGTACACATTCAGTTTTGGGCATCACGATAATGATGGATTTTTTTTAGAGCAAGAATTTTCATAGCACACTCAATATGGGTCAACGAATCAGCTGTGTCAAAAATTCCTCAACATCTGCAAGAGCTGTCTGGGAAGTTGTCGATGATAAGGTGATGATACGGGCAAAAAATTATCAATATAGTCTTCAACAAACGTGGAAAAAAAACACTTCTCTTGAAATTGTCGGCAGCATTCTCCAACTGTATATTAAGTTGGATTTGCCACGATTGATGAATCCTTCCAGTTGTCGAACAATATTTCAAGGAAGCCTATGAAAATGAGAAAGTCAAGCCAATAATTAAAGCATATACATCAACCACCCGTTTCCATGAACGTATCAACAAGGACTTGGCTAATTTGATCAGCACCAATAATTGGCGTGACATTCGTATAAGTTCAGATACTCCTGAAGACAGACAGTATTGGGAAGATGCTCTGGATATTGTTGGTATCATTACTCATCATCCAGCGTTGAGCTCCTATGAAATAAAGGAAGAGAAAAAGGTTTTTCGTGGTATAAGTATATCAGCGAATGATTTGGACAATCTTGACTGCCTATGTATATACATACTCATGCCAAGTTATCGACGGTACCTGACGAAGCTGAAGCTCTTATTTTGCCGTATACAACATTTGAAGTGCAAAGTAAAATGATCAACACAGATCGAACGATACAAGCTCGATACTTGAACGAACTACGCCAATGTTTAGATTTTTGATAATTAAACTGATCATTTCTTTTGATTGTTGTAATTTGTACATTTAAAAATAAAAAACACACAGTATTTTCTGCTTAGCTTGATCCTGATGAACGAGCTATTCAATATCAATCGAACGGGTGTAGATGGGGAGTATGATATGTGCATATGATCGTCTGCAATGATCCAAACCAACCCCCGGAACAGTTATCTTTCACATTGGATCTTTTTCTGGAACTGAACCCATGTGAAAAAAATAACTGGAATAATCAGATCAAAATCGATTAAAAAATGATTAAAAATCCATTATAATCAAAAATAATCAAAAAAGTCAAATTTTCATTGATTATTCCTATTATTTTCGATTAAAATCGATTAAAAGTTCAAGAAAATAATTGATTATAATCGATGAAAATTTAAGGAAATCGATTGAAGGTTTTACGATTTCCTGTGGCGAAAAATCGATTAAAAGCGATGTTTTCTGCACAACTTTTAATCGATTATAAATTTGACTTTTTTGATTATTTTTTATTATAATCGATTAAAGGTGTATGATTATAATCGATCTTTAATCGATTTTAATCTGATTAGTCCCCTTATTTTTTTCACATAGGCACCAGATCCAGGATAGTCTCACAACTGAGAAATAGCAGTGGAAATTCAGAGAAACATGTATTGAAAACTGTAAAAAGGCGTTCTAACTGATGTTTCACTAGGTGACTTTTCATATAGCTTTGGTCATGCAAGGTGATCTAAGGCACAAAGCACTTTTAGATTGGTTCTTTATTTAAAAAAGAAAGCATATTGAAAAAATGGAACCCAACCTAATCTTATGTGGTTTTCGATGCGCAAGTCTAGCAATGACCACGGTTTAGGAAGTGTCAGACTGGTCTCATATGACATTAAAAATATAACAAAAACTCGTGTTGCTAGAGACAGAAAATAATGAAAGTTAGTTATTGATAATACGACGAAAAGGTACGGAAAATAGTGATAGCAATGGTGTCGGTGTGGGTATGAATACGAATGAAGAGAAGACGCATACACCTACACTCACACTGAACACCCACATTAGTCCACAAACATACTATCCCTCATGCTCTCTGTTTTTAAATCACTATCTATTTCTTTGTGTTTCTTTAATGTTTTTAAAAATATTTCTCTGATTAAATCGATATTATAAAGAGACTTGTTCAAAGCTTGTCGAATGACTATGACTGATTACGGCATGTAGAGAAAAAAAAACTTTCGTCCATCCAATCTCGAATAAATTTGTTGTTTTTGTTTTATTATGAATAAAATTTCATTGTTTGATATATAACAAGGAATTTTGGCATAGAAAGTTCATGGAAGCCATGTAATAAGCCAATTGTTTTCGTATTCAACAAAGAATGAATCCTCTTCACGTAAATGACTATGATTAATAAGCCACTGTTGAAGATTTTTACTCATTTCATCTGTCAACAAACCTCTGATGCAAAAACTACGCAGATTTCCATCTCTCCACAATAAAAGCACTTTTATAACAAGCGAATCTATGATAACTTTTGAACTTTCCAAAAAAAGACCAAGATAGCGAAGATGATAAAACTTTCGTGCAATCGTATCTAGTTGAATCAAGTCAACATCTCGAAGATGAATAATTTCAAGATATACAATACGTTTCTGCAATAATTCACATGTCGATACATCGTTGAGTAAGAGATTTAAGCACTTGATATCAATTTTTAGTTGCATGAGATTAGGAGCCGCTTGAATTAGATGAAATATATCATATGTTCCATTTATATCGAGACGTTTCAGTTGTGGTAAATGTAAGATGATTGGTTGAGTGGATTGACAAGTAACTGAAGATTAAAGAAACTAATAAGAACTAATGAAAAAATAAAAACTAAAATATGAAAATTTGATGTTGCACAATCAAAAATCGAAAGCAATTTTTTCTCGAAATATATGGTAAATAAAAACATGTAAAATATATAGAGAAATTTAAAAAAAGATGTTTTTCTTGTTTCTTGTTTCTTTTTTCATGTTTGTCTAAAAGTACTACAACTGAGAGTCACACGGAAGACTTGTAACAAAAGTAGTAATACAATTGAAAAAATCTAATATCTTCACTTGACTTCTCTGAAAAGCAATATTTTTGTGAATCATGATCAACGTAGACAGGATCTTTATGCATCATAAAAGCGGCTTCGTCGTATTTCATATTATAGTCTCTTGTAGATTCTTGCGGAGTTTTCATCAATTAGATTTTTTTTCTCAAACATAAAACGAATTTCGAACTATTTTCTTAAAAGAAAGCTATTAACTAATTCCTCTTTGAACCCTCGTCAATCACTTGAATGAAGAGAAAGTTCGTTTTTTTTCTCATTTGTAGACGAAATATTCTCGAAGGAAGATTCTCACTCGATTGAAAGCTTTTGCAATGATCCTTATTGTATAATTAGTGGACTACTCAATTATAGAAACCTACAGATAACTTTTATTCTTCTATAGTTTTTGATGGAAACTTCTGTTTCGAAGTCAATTAATTTTGTCTACTTTTAGACCCAGTTAGCCTATCTTGCATATACATTTTCAGAATTCTTCGATTTTAGCTTTCTGAATT